CTGGCTTCTGTGTTGGCATCTGCAAGATAAGCGTTTGCTCCCAAAGTTCAAAGTAGGAAATGATTAATGAGCAAAGAGCAAGTCAGAGAACTTCTAATTCAGTACTTACAATCTTATCCAGCCCTATCATTCCATCCTTCTCTGAGCATTATAATTAAATTAGAAAATATTAATATTCCGTTATTATCTGAGCCAGTAAACAATGATCAGAGAATAAGCCAGAATCTTCAGAATGGTTTAAGAATATGATTTATTCCTAACCTGATAATTGTAGTTTCCTAGTTCTGAAATAATGGGAAACTATGGTTAGTTGAAGACATCTTAATTTAATCAAGGCATACAGAGAAGAGTGAGAGAGAAGGCTGTATAGATCAGGAAAGGTGTCCATAATCTGTTTATTATAAGTTTAGTGTGATTGTCTCAAGTAGCTCACTGAGTAATCATGGAAATATCATCTTCAAAAGGCCACTCAGCAACTTGTTAGCCTACCAAAAATAGGATCATGACTCAGGAAACATTGTTCATATTTGTCCCTCAACAACTTTAAATATACTAAATGGGAACACACCTCTTTCCCTAGCATTTATTTCCTCTATGTTCCAAATTTAGAGTATAGCTCCCAGACAGCTAATTAAAGAAAAGCATCAGCTGGGAAGGAGCAAAAAAAGAGAAAAAGGAAAGGAAATGTTGTTAAGCATCTCCTTTTTTATGACTTACCATTTATACATTAAACCATCTTGTTTATAAATTATGTCTGTGTTTATTTCACATAGGCCACTTCCATGCAGCTACCAGCCTTCCCCCTTAAATCTGGCAGCAATTTTGTGCTGCCCTACAGCATCTCACTTCTGGTCTTCATCCTCCCCTGGAATGGGCTTTTGACCATAGAAGGAAGGGGGGAAATCTCAGAAGGGATGAGATGAGTGTTGCCAGCAAAGGGAAACTGCCTGCCCCATCAGAAAAAACATTATACAACTGTCTGCACAGTTTTTCCCCTGAAGTGGGAGCTGAGAATAAATAATCACCCATCCCTCAACTCCTGGTCTGAAGCCAAGTGCTCCTCCCTCCTTTGTAGAAATTAAGCCACCAGAGCATCAACTGTTAATGGAGTAGAGGATACCACCTGAGTGACTTTGCAACTCCCCCTAATAGCAACTGTTTGGGTCTTTTAAGGAATGACTGAGCAAAGGCACACCTTACAAAATTCAGAATATGAAGGGGAATATGGGATTGTGATGAAATACCATTCTTCTCCTGCTCCTATTGGATAGCTGGAAGAAAGTACTGATTGCCTCAAATTGTGGAGTATATTCTCTTCTATTGGCTCAAATTGTTCTCAACAATTTGAGACCGGCAGCAGTGAAGACAACTGCATGTTGGCTTCAAACTACTTTTAAGTAGTTGGCATAGAAATGGCCTTCCATTACTCTCTTTATCACTCCAGCTCACTTTCGCAAAGTGTATTTTTCTTCAGATCTCTGCTTGCATGACATCTCTGAATTAAACTGGGTTTTAAACATTATTTATCCAGTGCTTTTGCATTAGCTGAATGTGTTGGAGAAGGGCTGTTGCTCAGAGGTAGAGTATCTGCTTTGTATGCAGAAGATTCCAGGTCACTAGATTCTCACATAGGACTAGGAACAACTCCTATCTGAAATCCCTAGATAACATCTGCCCATCAGTGTAAGTAAAAGTAAGGTAGAGTGTTTACTACTCTGACTTGATATTTGGGCTGTACAGTGCTTTGGGCAAAAAAGTCCTTTAGATCACATAGGGGCAAAAGATAGTACCTGTCTTTAACTCTTAGAAAACGTTCTTTGATAAATGATCTAAATTACATAGATGACAACTACATGGGATCCACCTTGGGCAAGGTTTAGGGGTTTATTTATTATCTGGGGGGTGTTTCCCATACATTTAGGTCATGGTGGGCACATTTCCAATACATATTTGAGATTGTACATGCCAAAGAAAGTCATCCGTTTTGAGATTCTGCAGACCATCCGATGGATATCATTTACAATCCACTCTTAAGGTATTCCATGCAAAAACTAGGCTCAACTTCTCTATGATGCTTCACTAAACATGTATATAAAAATACAATTCGAGAAGATACAGACCACTTTTCTTAGAACTCAGCAGCCCCATCAGTGTGTGTTAATTGCTATGCAATACTTCATGTGGAGGCAGGAAAGGGACCAACTGAGGCTTGAGCTTAGCAATATATTTTTAAACTCTCATTAGAAGGATACCCTTAATTCTACAGGACTATTTCCAGTCCTCCTTGGAAAATAAATTTTAGGTTTGGGATATGTCCCACAATTTGTGGTTATAACGGGGTTCCACAAAACTAGGCAGCATTTAGAAGCAGGTTTGCAACATCCATTTTAAAAAAGAATTATGTCAGACCAAGGATTACATCTTTGGAAGCATCAGGAATAAGTACAAGGTGGAAAATCTCTAATCAGAGAAAGGGCTTTGCTGTTGTCTACAGGAATATCTTTCAGTGGCTTTACTTGAGAGCAGATTCTGTTGAGCCCCATATTCAGAGCAGTTGTACCCATGTAATGCAGGAGAGATAGAAATGATAGCCCACCATCATTTTTGTGATAGTGACTCTCACTGAGAACATAATTCCCTTCTTCAAATAATTTTTTTTTTTTATCTGCACTCAGTCGTTACCGACTCTGCAGTGACTGCTTGGACAAGTCCTTTGCAGTTTTCAAGGCAATTGTTTCGGAAG